ACCCCCGGATCAAGGTTCACCCCCGGATCAAGGTTCACCCCCGGATCAAGGGTCACCCCCGGATGAAGGTTCACCCCCGGATGAAGGTTCACCCCCGGATGAAGGTTCCACCCCGGATGAAGGTTCACCCCCGGATGAAGGTTCACCCCCGGATGAAGGTTCACCCCCGGATGGAGGTTCACCCCCGGATGAAGGTTCACCCCCGGATGAAGGTTCACCCCCGGATGAAGGTTCACCCCCGGATGAAGGTTCACCCCCGGATGAAGGTTCGCCCCCGGATGAAGGTTCGCCCCCGGATGAAGGTTCGCCCCTGGATGAAGGTTCGCCCCCGGATGAAGGTTCGCCCCCGGATGAAGGTTCACCCCCGGATGAAGGTTCACCCCCGGATGAAGGTTCACCCCCGGATGAAGGTTCACCCCCGGATGAAGGTTCACCCCCGGATGAAGGTTCACCCCCGGATTAAGGTTCACCCCCGGATTAAGGTTCACCCCCGGATGAAGGTTCACCCCCGGATGAAGGTTCACCCCCGGATGAAGGTTCACCCCCGGATGAAGGTTCACCCCCGAATGAAGGTTCACCCCCGGATGGATGAAGGTTCACCCCCGGATGGATGAAGGTTCACCCCCGGATGGATGAAGGTTCACCCCCGGATGAAGGTTCACCCCCGGATGAAGGTTCACCCCCGGATGAAGGTTCACCCCCGGATGAAGGTTCACCCCCGGATGAAGGTTCACCCCCGGATAAAGGTTCACCCCCGGATGAAGGTTCAAACCCGGATGAAGGTTCAAACCCGGATGAAGGTACACCCCCGGATTAAGGTTCACCCCCGGATGAAGGTTCACCCCCGGATGAAGGTTCACCCCCGGATGAAGGTTCCCTTCGGGATTAAGGTTCACCCCCGGATGAAGGCTCACCCCCGGATGAAGGTTCACCCCCAGATGAAGGTTCACCCCCGGGTGAAGGTTCACCCCCGGATGAAGGTTCACCTCCGGATGAAGGTTCACCCCCGGATGAAGGTTCACCCCCGGATCAAGGTTCACCCCCGGATGAAGGTTCACCCCCGGATGAAGGTTCACCCCCGGATGAAGGTTCACCCCCGGATGAAGGTTCACCCCCGGATGAAGGTTCACCCCCGGATGAAGGTTCACCCCCGGATGAAGGTTCACCCCCGGATGAAGGTTCACCCCCGGATGAAGGTTCGCCCCCGGATGAAGGTTCGCCCCCGGATGAAGGTTCGCCCCCGGATGAAGGTTCGCCCCCGGATGAAGGCTCGCCCCCGGATGAAGGTTCGCCCCCGGATGAAGGTTCGCCCCCGATGAAGGTTCGCCCCCGGATGAAGGTTCGCCCCAGGATGAAGGTTCACCCCCGGATGAAGGTTCACCCCCGGATGAAGGTTCACCCCCGGATGAAGGTTCACCCCCGGATGAAGGTTCACCCCCGGATTAAGGATCACCCCCGGATGAAGGATCACCCCCGGATGAAGGTTCACCCCCGGATGAAGGTTCACCCCCGAATGAAGGTTCACCCCCGGATGAAGGTTCACCCCCGGATGGATGAAGGTTCACCCCCGGATGGATGAAGGTTCACCCCCGGATGAAGGTTCACCCCCGGATGAAGGTTCACCCCCGGATGAAGGTTCACCCCCGAATGAAGGTTCACCCCAGGATGAAGGTTCACCCCCGGTGGATGAAGGTTCACCCCCGGATGGATGAAGGTTCACCCCCGGATGAAGGTTCACCCCCGGATGAAGGTTCACCCCCGGATGAAGGTTCACCCCCGGATGAAGGTTCACCCCCGGATGAAGGTTCACCCCCGGATGAAGGTTCACCCCCGGATGAAGGTTCACAACCGGATAAAGGTTCACCCCCAAATGAAGGTTCACCCCCGGATGAAGGTTCACCCCGGATGGATTAAGGTTCACCCCCGGATGAAGGTTCACCCCCGGATGAAGGTTCACCCCCGGATCTATGTAGAGAAAGACGCGTCCTGCGTCCTAGACACATGAGTCCAGACGCATGCGTCCAGACGCAGGACGCAGCATCAGGACCAGAAAGACGCACCAAAATGTCAGAATGTCGATGTTTGTCTAGCCTGCAGTGGGGTACTCTATAGCGAGTACAACCCAATTAGGGTTTCCTATATGTATCTCAACTGCTGCTAGTGAAAACCACTCTTTCCTGTTTCTAGCTTGTGCCTGCTATTCCGACATGCTATCAGAGCAGGTCGACCCTCCTGGGTCGATCCTGTGGATGGGCCCGCCACCTAATGCTTCCGCTGCTGTCCTGCCTATCGCGCGCCCCGGGCGCGCGACGTGTTTTGCTTGCCGCGCGCTCGGGTGCACGGCGTATTTTTCATCCCGCCGCGCGCTCGGGGCGCGCGGCGGTTTTCTGCCCGCCGTGCGCCCCGAGGCCCGCGGCGGTTTTCTGCCCCGTCGATCCGCGCGTCGCCCCCCGTCGCCCGTCGCAGCGCCCCCGAGGACCCGCGCGTCGCCCCCCGTCGCCCGTAGCGGCCCGCGCGACCTGCGCCAGGCCCGCGCGCGGCCCGTACGGCCTGCGCCAGGCCCGCGCGCGGCTCGTACGGGCTGCGCCAGGCCCGCGCGCGGCCCGTACAGCCCGCGCGCGGCCCGTACGGCCTGCGCCAGGCCCGCGCGCGGCTCGGGCAGCCCGCGCGCGGTTTGTCCGGCCTGCGCCAGGCCCGTGAGCGGCCCATACCGTCTGCCCCAGTGCCGCACGCCGTCCCCCGAGCTTCTGACCGCACTCCTGTGTTAGGGTTTGGGGGTGGAGAGTATGGGGGTGCCGTGTGTGTGAGCCGTCCCCTGCTCCTCCTCCTCCTCCGTCTCCCACTGCTGCAGCTGCCGCTGAGGGGGGTGGATGTGTTGGAGCCGTCGGAGTGGTACGAGGGGGGTGGCGTGTGAGCGGTGCTAGTGGTTCAGCAGGGGGTGTGTGAAAGGGGTGTGGGACAGTTGGGGGAGGTTGACCGGAGGTAGCCGACTTGTCGTCCGCATCGCCTGAAGTCCAGAGAGCCACGACCCCCTGTGGCCGTGTAGTCCGGGGCTCTGCGCCCGGTAGCCACAGTGTGAGCACTCCTGGGAGCACAGTGAGCCAGCTGCGCCTGTCGCCGTGTAGCCCGGGTTTAGCCTGGTAGCGTCAGTGCTGCGCACTCCTGTTGCCCGTGTGTCTGCAGCTTCAGCCGTCGCCTCTCATCTTCTCGTCCTCCATAGTTTCTCCTCTTCTTCACTTGCCCTCTGTGATAGCCTCTAGCTTTGCTTATCCTTGTGAACTATTGCACTGCCTGCTTGTTGTGTTGATTGTACCCCACTTTGACTATGGGGGTGTGTCAGAATGTCGATGTTTGTCTAGCCTGCAGTGGGGTACTCTATAGCGAGTACAACCCAATTAGGGTTTCCTATATGTATCTCAACTGCTGCTAGTGAAAACCACTCTTTCCTGTTTCTAGCTTGTGCCTGCTATTCCGACACAAAAGACGCAAGCCCGGGCAGGGCAAAAAAACCCCCCGGGCAGGCAAAAAAATTTGTTATAGGGCATTGGAAGAGGGGGGGGGGGGGACGTTCCACACTTTCAAGTCAAATTTGTCCCCAACAACAATTTTTTCCCCCAAAACTCAAGATTAAGGTGATTAAGCTAGTAAGCTAAAACCTCTAGGGTTTACGAAAGAGAATTGGGTGGGTGGGTAAAATGAGAAACCACAAATGACTTGGTTGCATTGCTAAATGGGCTTGGTGGTGGGCCACAAAGGTTGGGTTTTGTAGATGTGAAGTGGTTGAGAGGTTTGAGAATTTCAAATTTGCATGAAGGGTTATGAAATGTTGGGGGGGGCTGTTTTAGAATGGCGATTTGGGCAAGGGGGGGTCGAAATTTCGCGATTTCGACAGTCGCGTCGAAATCGCGAATGTCAAATTCGCGATCGGGAAATGTTTTTTCCGGGCAGCCCGAAAAAAAAAAAATCGCAGTGCGTCCTGCGTCTGGACGCGCGTCCTGCGTCCGTGAGTCCAGACGCAGGACGCAGCGTCCTCCGTGTGTCTTTCTCAACATAGCCCCGGATGAAGGTTCACCCCCGGATGAAGGTTCACCCCCGAATGAAGGTTCACCCCCGTATGAAGGTTCACCCCCGGATGAAGGTTCACCCCCGGATGAAGGTTCACCCCCGGATGAAGGTTCACCCCCGAATGAAGGTTCACCCCCGTATGAAGGTTCACCCCCGGATGAAGGTTCACCCCCGGATGAAGGTTCACCCCCGGATGACGGTTCACCCCCGGATTAAGGTTCACCCCCGGATTAAGGTTCACCCCCGGATTAAGGTTCAATCCCGGATCAAGGTTCACCCCCGGATCAAGGTTCACCCCCGGATCAAGGCTCACCCCCGGATCAAGGTTCACCCCCGGATGAAGGTTCCACCCCGGATGAAGGTTCACCCCCGGATGAAGGTTCACCCCCGGATGAAGGTTCACCCCCGGATGAAGGTTCACCCCCGGATGAAGGTTCACCCCCGGATGAAGGTTCACCCCCGGATGAAGGTTCACCCCCGGATGAAGGTTCACCCCCGGATGAAGGTTCACCCCCGGACGAAGGTTCACCCCCGGACGAAGGTTCACCCCCGGACGAAGGTTCACCCCCGGACGAAGGTTCACCCCCGGACGAAGGTTCACCCCCGGACGAAGGTTCATCCCCGGATGAAGGTTCACCCCCAGATGAAGGTTCACCCCCGGATGAAGGTTCACCCCCGGATGAAGGTTCACCCTCGGATGAAGGTTCACCCCCGGATGAAGGTTCACCCCCGGATGAAGGTTCACCCCCGGATGAAGGTTCACCCCCGGATGAAGGTTCACCCCCGGATGAAGGTTCACCCGCGGATGAAGGTTCACCCCCGGATGAAGGTTCACCCCCGGATTAAGGTTCACCCCCGGATTAAGGTTCAACATGGTGTCAGCAATTGTTTACAAATGCTTGCACGACAAGCGAAATTGAAATCCAGATGTTCACCTGGGAGGCGAGGTTGTATCGGTTGCCTGCGAGCACCATGTGGAAGCCGTACTTGCGCAGCATGGGAGGCGTTACTCGCACAAAGCAGACCGCCGCCTGCTCCAACAACACTGCTGCCTTCACTCCACTCTCCTGCAATGGGGGGGAAAGAGAGGGGAAGTGGGGTTTGGGGGTTTGTTGGGGGGGGAGAGGGCGGGGGGGAGGCATGGGCATGGGCAAGTGGAGAGGAGAGGGGGAAGGAAGAAAGAAGAGCTGTTACCAGGTAAAGAGGGTGGTGGAAGTATCATTGGGTTGTTGCAGGGTAGGCCAGTGGAATGTGGGAAGCATAAGTACAGGCCACTTAACCAAATGTTCCACCACTGATGAAAGAATTAGCAAAGAAGAACATACCTCCAAAGATGCACGCATGAGGGTGAGTGCAGCGTCTCGGAAGTTTCCCTTAGCCTTGAACATGCCAATCATCCAGAAGACTGTTCTGAGGGCAAAGCGGGCTCCCAATGGACCACAGCGCTGACAGGGATGGGAGCAGATGGAGGATGGTTAGGGAGGATGGAAGATAAGGGAAGAGTCGAAGTTGATGGAGGCGGAAAGGATAAAAAAGGAAAAGAGCGGAGAGGAAGTGGGGGGGGGGGGGGGGGAGAGGGGGATGGGGGAAGGGGAGTGCGGGGGTGGGGGAAGGGGAGGGGAAGGAGAACCAAAAACTGGAGGAAGGATGACAGAAACGGAAACGCGCCTGGATTGCCATAGTGAGTGAATACCTGGTATGAGGCGTAAGCACTCTCCATGCACTGCTCCATCTCCCTCCGAGAAATCTCCAAGAGAAAGAGTGACACTGCCACCATTTCCTGAAAGAAACATAATAATCCACACATCACAATCCCCCGTCATTTACACAAGCGTGATCACACACACATGCAAACTTAAACGCATACAACCACACATTTGCAGAGTCAGTCACACGCACACACATACATGCACGCATGCATGCAAAAACATGCACAAGGACATCGACACCCAAGGCCCGCATGGGGAAAATGAATTGCGAAGGCACCAAACAATTGCAGTTCGCTACAAAAGCAGGCAGTGAAAACGAGGCAACGGAGCATTGTAAGAGGACAAAGCATGAGAAAGGAACCTAAGAGACATATGGAAGTCACAAACAAAGCACTTCACACTACTCTCAAGCCCGTCAAGAACCAGTGATTCGCAAAAGTCTGACCTGCGCCCCAGCGTAGTGCTTCCATGCCTTGTCTCTGCGGTAGTCTGCCGCCACGAGCCGGTAGTTGTCCAGCGCAAGCTGGAAGTCCTGCAGCATCATGGCTGCGTCCGCCAGCTGGCGGATCTGAGACTCAGGCGAGCGGTAGGTGTAGCTGAGAGGACAGTCAAGGATGAGAGAAGGGGAGAGATTGATGAGTTTAGTACACTGGCTGAGAGAAGGGGCAAGAGGGAGGGTGGCGAGGGAGTAGGGTGGAGACGTAGTAGACCACAGAAAAAGAACGACCGGGGAAGGGGAGTGAGTGGGGTGGGGGAGGGGTGACAGAGAGGCAAAAGGGCCATGGCAAGGAACAGATGGGAGACGAGAGGTGCTCACACGCCGGGTGTGGCGTCTGCTGTCTCCTCCTTCCCCTTGCCGAACCACAAGTTCTTGATTTGGTTGCGTAGCCCACGACGACTGGCTGAGATCTGGGGCATTCATGTTCGTGGATGCAAACACAAACAAACACCCGCATACATACACGCGCACGTATCCACACATTTACACAGACTTGCTCGCGTTCACATGTATTGTAGTCCCAAACAAAATCGGAGATTGAGGAAACCACCACAAATTGCTTGCTGGTCCACTTGCCGGATCATTAGGTTCCTTCACCAACCTGCTGGTTGAGGTCGCGCGCCTTCCTCTCAAGGTGAGGCACGAGGTGCTTCACACTGAGCTCCGTCATCATGTCCGCCACCTCCCTCACATCCGCCTCACTCATATACTGCCCCACTGCCCCCGACACAGGTGCGCCTGATGGGCTCTGTGGCAACTGCAGGAGGTAGGAGAGAGCGAGGGGGGAGGAGGAGAGGAGGAGGGTGAGAGAGCGAATGGGTTTGGGAATGGAAGATGAGAGGCTAGGGGGAAGAGAAGCAAGAGCAGGACGTTGTTGTGGTTAGGCCGCAGCCAGCTACCAAAAGTCTTCCTTACCACAGTGCCAGCAGGAGGAGGCGTCGGGGCCCCTCCAACGGGGACAGGGCGGTGTTTGGTCCAGATGTCAGGCCGTGACTGGCTGGGAGCGGCGGCAGAGTTGATAGGCAACAAACGGCAGACAGGGCTGCCAAAAGCAGCACGCATCTCAGCGAGAGTGAGCTCGACTTGAGAGGAGGCGGAGGGAGGGCCCAGGGAGGAGCAGTCGTGCAGCAGCAGGTAGTGCAGGTGCAGCTTGGGGTCCATGGTGCCGTCGCGGTAGAGCGCGGGCAGGCGGTCGGGAGTCATGAGCTCACGCAATGCGCGCACAGGGAAGGGCTCTGACGTGGAGGCGACCAGCAGACCTGGGGTGGTGGGTGTTGGTGGGTTGGGAAGTGGAGCGGTGCTGGATGGTGAGTTGAAGACAGGTGCGGTGGTGCTTGTTAAAGCCAATAAGAAAATAGGTAAACAGAGAAACAAGGACGCCAAGAAGGCAGGTGTGCATGGATGATGAACTCTAGGGAGCTTACACGCGATGGGATGATCGAAGGTCTCGTGGTCAGAAAAGACGAGCGTGCGCATGTACTCGTCGGTGAATCGCTGAAACCAGCACGTCCGGTTCTCCGCATTGGCCACTGCAGTCACAGAGACGGGAAGGGAGTGCGGCAAGGGGACGGGGATGGAGTGAAAACATCACAATCTCCTCCCTGTTCCAAACCATAGCCCCATTCTTCCCCATCATGCATGCTCTTGGCGACGACTCGGAGATTATCAAATCCAGGTGGCCCTTCATGGCAACTCACTGCCAATGATGGAGTTGAGGTCGCTCGGGTCTGCCCCCATCAGCTCTGCGTCTGCCGCCTCACTCGCGTTTGTCACAAAGCGCACACAGAAATCTTCTGCTGCCTGCTCCCCCACCCCACAACGCACAGAGAAATGAGCATATAACACGTAACAACACTATCGGCTACGAATGTGCCTAAGATCGACATCCGCCAGATACCTCTTGGGACGGTTGCTGAATCTCGCTAGCATAGAACACTCGCACGCGGAAGTCGTGCAGGCGGTACGAATGCTCACCCGCCGTGCGCACGGGCACTGCGGGGAAAGGTGCCGCGAGGGGAGGAAGCGGGATGGGGGAAAGGAGAAAGGGGAACGAGGGAGTGAAATGTGGATGGGGGCTGATGGGGCGAGGGATCTCAACAACGTCTGCGCAGTCAGGATACAGTCAAAGGGAAGAGGGTGCCTGTTATTGTCGACAAGGAGAAAAGCACGTTTGCATGCACCGTACTACAGCCACATCTCACCGTTGAGATTGGAAAACTCGCAGTGCGGGCGGAGTAGGTCGACGAAGCTCAGCGCGTTTCTCTGGCAGGCGGCCTCAGCGGCGGCGGTGGAGAGCACCATGAGCGCGGGGCACATGCGCTCGCGGAGGCTCTCACCCAGCATCGACCGTTCCATGCTGCTGCGCTGGTATCCCGACCCGCCCCGCGTCATCGGCGCTCCTGTTAGCAGATCCATAGCGAAACGGACTACGGTGGTGGCTCGCGGTTAAAGCTTCACATCGAACACACAAGTTGGAGGCAGGTGGCTGCTAGTGCGCCTTCACTGTGATGTGCGTACTGAAATCTACCATCCATTCACACGGAAGATGTGAAACGGACATGCTTCTCCAAAAAATTAGGGTCTCGATGTTAGCACGCGCGGTAAGAGCAGAATGACCTAGAAGGGACCGAAACGTACACATGAAGTGTACTTTCAAAATTGAACAAATTTGCTCCAATCATCACTCAATCCTCCCCAGCGCTGCGCCCCCCACACGACGTCGCCCAGTCTGCAAGGATAATGTTGTCCTGCCCAGTCGTCTTGACTGCTTGCATTGCAACCAGAGTTGTCACTTTCAATCCCCATGTTTTCGCCGCCACCAACGTTCACTCTCCCCAGCCAACCGCGACGGCCATGGCAGAGCCAGCAGAGCTCACTCCAGGTCCCGCCGCAAAGCCCACCGCAGGGATTTCCGCACGACCAGCCGTAAAGGCTAACGCGGTTGAGGCCGCAGAACCCGCTCCAGGCCCCACGGCCATGTCCGTAGCTATGCCGCCGAGTGCGGTGTCCATGGCTTTAAACAAACCCACCGTTCATATTCCCAGCCGTCTCCGCATGGCCCCGCAGCAGCATAACCACACTCACCAGCGAGAGGAGGGCCAACTGCGGGAACCACAGTCCGGGACCGAAACTAAAAGAAAGAGAGTTTTCTGGCTGACCTCCCTGGGCTCTCTGCTCGGCCGCAAGGTGGCGGAGCTGCTCTGGCCGTCGCTGCGCAGCTTTTCTCTGGGGCTGCTGCTCGATGCTCTTGGCTTCTCCATTGGACTGGCCGCTTCTCTCGTGATCGGGTGTAGGCTTCTGGACAAGCGACGATCGTTTGAAGTCAGCACTCCTCAAGTAAGGCAGTCGATTTTTCTCTGGAATGCAGGGCAAGTACAAGAACAGTCAGATTACACATGAATGTTCCATCCTTATTGCATCAGCGGGTAATGCACTGCTTACCACGTCTCAGAGAAATTGCTCTTGCTGCAGGTTTGCCGAGTGCTAGCAGTGACAGACGAGGACCACTTGGATCGGCTTCGAGGCTCTCTGCCAGGCTGGGTGAAAGACCCTAGCTTGGAGCCGGCGCGCTGGCTGAACCATGTGATTGCGCGATTCTGGCATGTGCTGAGTCCCGCACTCAGTAAAGTCTTCGTGGAAAAGCTGTGGCCGGTGAGTCCTGCTTCCAGATACCCAGCTCCTGTTGCTCTGACATGAAATTTAGGAACTTAACTCTAGGCTCGTGTCAGCTACATGCAAGCGCATTCACTACACACTTACTTTGAAGATTTTTCACCAGCAAAAAAATATGCAATCGTGTCCCTCCCCACCAGGCCATTTGCAGGCATAAACGATTTCCGGACAACCTGCTTCATATTGAAGACTTTTCGTTCGGGTCGTTCCCCCTGGTAGTGGAGTATGTCAAGGTGCGCAGTGATGGGTTCAGCATTGGGTCGCTCAATAGCTAGGATGAACAGCCTCTGTCACATCCCGTTTCTTCAGCCCCAAAGCGTCCACTCTTAGTGTCATGTATTGGTTGGACCTTCCACAAAGCACTTGACTCTTGCTGTCCCTCGAAACTTCTCCCCATCCCCTCTTCTTTTCATCCCTTATCACTCACCGAGGAAAGCAGATGGTCGAATCTCATGAGTCTGCAGCCGTGCTTGACCTCAAGGTGCACCTGGCCACGAACTCCAATGCAAGGGCCATCTTGACCTTGCCAGGGAGTGTGCTGAGACTTCCAGCAGTCGAAGGAGACGATGACTGCTCATCCACCTTGCACCTCTCTCAATTCGTGGGGAGAGCAGTCTTGCGCGTGTCGTTCGCTCCATTGGTTCCCCGGTTCCCTTGCTTTGGGAACGTCCACTTCTCTTTCCTCGAAACTGTAAGACAACAGGAACTCTTAACTGCTTCGCAGATTCATGAGCGCCCACTCGATAATATTTAAGCCATGCTGATTTCTGTCATTACCACATTTCGTGTTTCATGTCTTGTTGCAGCCGGAACTGGACTTCTGTCTTTCCGCCTATGCGGGGCTTGACCTCCTGTCACTTCCTGGCATCTCCGGCCTCTTGCACAAGAAGATTCAATCGGCTATTGCAGGTCACATGCTATGGCCAAGGCGCTTCACAGTCCGCACGAAGGCAGCAGCAGTGGCAACAGATAGAACCAGGCGAGCAGTTGGTACTGTGACAGTGGAGGTAGTGGAGGCCACAGAGCTAACTCAAGCAGGACTTCTTCTGGCACAGCATATCCTGTATCCATCACCCTTTGTCAAGGTGCGTCTGGATCGAAAGCTTGTTAGTTGCAACGAGAAAAAAAATGCTTACGGAAATGGATGACAAATTCGTTTTGCAGGCTTACATTGATCCAAGCCGTTCTGTGTCCACTGCCATTGAGTCGTACACCTGTGACCCGGTGTGGCGTGAGGTGCTTCGTCTGCCTGTGATCGACCATGAGACGGATGCCCTGACATTTGAGGTTCACGATGCGACAGCACTGCTGGTGGACAGTCTGATCGGCTCTTGTGTTCTTCACATCAGCAATCTGCAGCCAGGAACTTCGCAGGTACTTCATGTTCAATTTAAGCGCTGAGATGAAAATGTAAGATGCCTGTGCAGAACAACAACTTTTCAAGGTTAGCAATGGGTGGTGATGTGTTGATCCAACACAGAAGCTACTCACTGCAGTTTCTGTGTTCTTGCTGTCATCTCCTTCTGCAGCACTTCACGCTTGGGCTCTGGAGCCACCGCGGCCTGCCATGCGGTGAGCTGGAGCTCATTGCAACCTTCAGAGTCCTGCAAAGCGAGACAATGCCGCGAAAGCTTTTATCGGAAGATGCAGTGCTCGCAACACCTGGAATGCAACCACGCCTGCAACTTCATGCTGATGGGCCTGGTTTGCTGGAAGTGGCTGTGTGGAGGGGTCTGGATCTAGATGCGAGCAGTTGGCTGGGGAGAAACCCCGACGAAGCTCAGTTCTTGTGCAAGGTGTTCCTTGCAGGAGAGGAGCGAGTGACCAAGGTGAGAAAAATGTGGGGTCGTTGCCAGCTCAATATCCTCCAATTTATGTCCCTGGAGAGCTGCCTCGCCATCCATTTTGTTTCTCTGAGTATGGCAATTTGATTCCATGATTGCAGGTTGCTGAAGGCAGAGGGAATCCACAGTGGGAAGAGTCGTTTGAATTTTCGCTTGATCAACCACCAGTTACTGAAAAACTGCTGATCGAAGTGTGGAGTCGGAGCCCAGAAGCAATGCTGGTTGGTTCTGCAGAGAAGATGGTGGGTTCCGTGGAGATCCCTTTGTGTGACGCGCTGAAGAACAAACGCATTGTTGATATTTTCCAGCTCCATCACACAAAGCAGGGATATTTGAAGTTGGAACTTCAGTGGCGCTTGCTTGCTGAAGCCAGCTGACTGTTTTGGTAGTATCCTGCTGTTAAGAATTAACAGGCAGGAATGGTGTAAACTATCGAGAGAGTTGGTACAAGTACAAAACCTAAAGGGGTTGTACCCCATGTTGGCTACCCCACTATAGCCTACCCATTATACCATAGCATATATATAGTTTGACACACCCCCATAGGCAAAGTGGGGGAGAACAAGGGGTCACAAGACCAGTTAAGAAAAGCAATGCAAGCTCAGGGTGGATCACAACGTCACCACACACTCCGAGCACAAGCAAAAGGGCCACAAGGCCAGTTCACATGCAGAGGTATATATGCAACAACAACAGTACAGTGATCACTACCTAGCAAGAGTAAACATGCAGGTAGATATATATAGACCACAGTACAACCAAAGTCTACAGCAAGTGAGGAAACGTAGGCACCAGGCCTAGAGCAGTGCAGAAGCGCTGATAATCACCAGCCGGAAGGGCCTTGGTGAACACATCAGCCGTGTTCGCCCGGGTGGGCACGTGGGCGACACGAAGCTGACCACGCTGCTGCAACTCTCGAGCAAGGAAATAACGCAGAGCGATGTGCTTCGTTCTGTGCTCCAGTCTGTGGTCCTGACACAAGGCAATGGCAGCCTTGTTGTCGACGTACAGAACTGGAGGAGAACGAGGCCTCTCTCACAAGTCGATCAGCATGTAGGTGAGCCAGCGTAACTCCTGTGCAGCCATGGCTGTGGCGTAGATCTCAGCCTCACAACTGGAGCTGAGAACAGAAGACGAGCGGGTAGACCGCCAAGAAACAGAGCCAGAGCCAAGGCTGAACGTGTAACCCTGTGACGACCGCTGCGTAGCCATGTCGTCAACCCAAGAAGCGTCTGAGTGCCCAGTGAGGACAACTCGAGCCCGTCCTCCAAGCACGAGCCCCATGCCCGATGTACTGCACAAGTAGCGCAGTACCCTCTTCGCAGCATCGAAGTGCACCTTTCGGTGCCTACCAGGAGCCACGTAGCGTGCCAGAAGGCCAAGAGGGTACGCAAGGTCAGGACGAGTGCAGGTCATCAGGTACATGAGACAGCCCACTAGCTCTGGGTACGGACCACTCGGCTCTACGGACTCGTCCGAAGGTGGAGCTGAGAGCGAGTGACCTGTAGCCAGGGGAGTGGACTGTGGCGAGGACCAAGTGAAGCCGAAGTGCTGAAGGACCTGCTGCACCATGTGTGACTGAGTCAGTGTGATGGTGCGCCGTGCTCTGTCCCGGGTGATCTGCAGGCCAAGGTAGCTCCGCAGCTCACCCAGGTCTGTGCACCTGTGTCTCTTCTGCAGCCCCTACTTCACAAGGGCGAGAGCCTCAGTGTCAGCAGTGGCAAAGACCAAGTCGTCGACGTACACGAGGATGTAGAACGGCGGCAACGAAGTGTCGGTGCGCAGAAACAGCGACGGGTCAGCAGTCGACGGAGCAAACCCAAGAGCCGCAAGTGTCGTCCTCAGTGTGTCGTGCCACTCACGCGGCACCTGGCGGAGACCGTAGACTGGCCGCCGGAGGCTCCACTGGGTACCAGGAGGGAACGACCCAGTGAAGCCAGGTGGGCGGCGCAGCCAGATCTCCTCGTGCAGAGTGCCCTGTTAGAACGTTGTGCTGAAGTCCAGAGAGTGAAGCTCGTAGTCACGCTGAGCGGCAACGTGCAGCAGCACCCGAAGAGTGGTCATCTTTGGGGTGGGGGAGAAGGTCTGGAAGAAGTCAACTCCCTGTCACTGACTGAAGCCTCGTGCAACGTAACGCGCCTTGAAGACAGGCGGAGAACCTGACGGCCGCTTCACCCTGAAAATCCACATGCCATCGACTACGTTCGCCCCAGGAGGGGAAACTGCGTCGACGTAAGTGCCTGTGGACTTCCAGGATGCCATCTCTGCGTCCATGGCTGTCTGCCACTGAGAGGAGTACTCACCCACGATCGCCTCAGCGTAAGAGCGCGGGGTCGGGATGTCTGGAGCATCCGGGTCTCCCTCAGGGGCAAGCAGCATGGCCACGAGATGAGGCGCAGCGGCTGCAAGACACTCAAAGTCCTCCTGCATGTCCTCAAGGACGTCCGTGCCAAGAGCACACTCACCCCCGACGGACGGAGGACAGACAGACTCAGACTCAGCAACAAGACTAGCAGCGAAGTCTAGACGACAGGCAGCAGCAAAGTCAACAAGCTCAGAGACTAAGGCAGACGCAGCAGCAGACTCAAACGATGGGTCAGTGACAACAGTGGCTAGCAGACGCGTGACAGTGGGGTGAGCAGCACGAACCAGGTCAGACTCAGGGTCCTGAACGTCAGGCAGAGAAGACGCAGGAGGAGACGGCAGGGGAACACGCTGTGGAACAGAGGAAGGACGAAGTGCCATAGCGTGCGTGCCAGGGACAGGAGGCGGACGCGCACGAGGAACACGACTACCAGTGCGACGCGCGCGAACAGCCGAGGCAGGACGAGACACAGGCTCACGACGCTCTGTAAGCGAGTCTGTCTGCTCTGTGTAAGGAGAAAGAGCAGGCAGTGGTGCGCCGGGCTGTAACGGGAGGCCAGTAGAAGACGAGAGGCTAAGAACCTGGCGAAGCACGGAGTCAGGCGGTGGCAGAGACGACGGTGACGGCGGAGTGAAAAACAGTCGCGGCGGTGCAGTGCCACCAGTACCAGTAGCTCCAGCGCCTCCAGCAGCTCCAGAACCTCCAGCCCCAGGGCCTCCAGCAGCAGCACCTCCAGCTCCAGTGAATCCAGCAGCAGCACCTCCAGCTCCAGCGCCTCCAGCAGCTCCAGAACCTCCAGCTCCAGCGCCTCCAGCAGCAGCACCTCTAGCTCCAGTGACTCCAGCAGCAGCACCTCCAACTCCAGCTCCTCCAGTAGCTCCAGAACCTCCAGCTCCAGCGCCACCAGTAGCAGCACCCCCAGAATCGGCACCTCCAGCCCCAGGGTCCCCAACTCCAGAGTCGACAGTACCAGGTCCAGGGCCTCCAGCAGCAACACCCCCACAACCGGCACCTCCAGCTCCAGGGTCTCCAACGCCAGGGTCGACAACACCAGCTCCAGGGCCTCCAGCCCCAGTACCTCCAGCATCAGCACCCCCAGAGCCGACACCTCCAGCTCCAGGAGCAGTACTAGTCCCGGGAGCTCCAGTACCTCCAGTACGAGCACCTCCAGGACCAGAGACACCAGCACTCCCAGCGCCTCCACGACAAGCAGCTCCAGCAGCACGACTCCTCAGGCGGGTACGCGACGCAAGCCACTCTCGTGCCTGTTGTGGTGAGATAGGCCCGCGTCGTGAAACGAGACCCAGAGGAACGCCAGCAGACTCAGCACCCCCCGAATCGGCACCCTCCGGCTCAGCACCCCCAGGCTCCGCACTCGTAGGCTCAGCACCCCCAGGCTCCGCACCCCCCAGCACCTCACGGACGGGCTCAGCACCCCCAGACTCCGCAGCCGCAGGCTCAGCACCCCCAGGAGTAGTACCAGTCCCGGCAGCTCCAGTACCTCCAGTACGAGCACCTCCAGGACCAGAGACACCAGCACTCCCAGCGCCTCCACGACAAGCAGCTCCAGCAACACGACTCCTCAGGCGGGTACGCGACGCAAGCCACTCTCGTGCCTGCTGTGGTGAGACAGGCCCGCGTCGTGAAACGAGACCCAGAGGAACGCCAGCAGACTCAGCACCCCCCGACCCGGCACCCTCCGGCTCAGCACCCCCAGACTCCGCAGCCGCAGGCTCAGCACCCCCAGGCTCCGCACTCCCCAGCACCTCACGCGCAGGCTCAGCACCCCCAGACGCAACACCCCCAGCAGCACCTCCCGCAGCAGCACCTGAGTCGCTAGTGACCTCTACAGGCTCAGCCACGGGGGGCGGGTCTACCTGAGACACACCTAAAGGAGCAGGACCCTAAGGGAGGAGGGGGTCTACCGGAGGGGGACCTGGAGCGAGGAAAAGCGGCGGGGGAGGGAGAGGGGCAGTGCGGTAGGGGAAGAGACGGTAGAAAGGAACCGACTCGTCATTAGTGACGTCCTGAGAGGGGAAGACACAGCGCGAGGTGGGGTGGTAAAGCTGCCAGCCAGGCGCGTCAGGGACAAAGCCAAGGAAGACACTGGGAATGGTGCGGGAGGAGAGCTTGTCCGCGGACGTATCGCAGTCAAGGGCACGAGCACCCCAGATCCGGAAACGCGACGCATCGCCAACCTCCCCCGTCCAACGCAGTGTGGGCGAGGTCTCCGGCAAGGAGACACGGGGCCAGAGGTTGAGCTGCTGCGCGGCGTACCGGACCGCAAACGGCCACAGAAAATGGGGAGCCGCCGCATGGATCAAGGAGGTACGAGCGACCTCCATGACTAAGCCAATGCGGCGCTCA